CAAGTTATGAGCTTGCGAGATGGAGCTAAGAGCACCAAGTATTGACCCTAGTGTACTAAAGTCGTGTCGTCTGAAGTAACTTGTTGACAGTCTCTTCAGTTTCGTACGATCCTTTGGCTTTATGAATGACTTTCTATGTGGGGAAAACTTTAGTGTTTGAAGTGGGATGACAGCATCTCAGCATGTGTTGGAGTTATAGTAAAAGATGTCTAGAGCTTTCGAGAGGTTATCAGTACAGAAGTACTCTCTCCATTCTGAGGATCTTAACATTGATTCCACTGGAGTCCAGTCTGCCTTACTGTAGTTCCTGTAAGTTATTTGTTGTGAAGTAGGGGTATGGGCTGCATTGCTACTTGACGGGAGTGGCGGTGCACACAGCACTGTTTTGTGGTCACTCCCTGAAAACTCATAACCTACTAGGGTAGAAAGGGGACTTATATTGTGGCAGAAGATTAAGTCTAGTACGTTATTACCTCGTATAGGGGTAGTGACAGTTTGTTTCCAGCCAAGTATATCCAGTGTGCCTAAGAACTTGTCAAATTTAGTTGGGCCTGTGGGTATATCCCAGTTGATTTCTGGTAAGTTGAATTCTCCGTATATGATCTTATGATCGTAGTGTAGGGTGGATAATTGTTAGGTCTCGTAATTACCTAAGGTACCAGGTGCTCTGTAGGTGCATCCAATTAATACTATTGCGTTATTTGAGTGTAAGTTAACCCATAAAGTCTCAGGCATGTTAAGAGTACTACTGTCTAGCCGTGATACAGTAAGTGCATTCAGAAAGTACATGAGACAACCCCCTCCCTTACCACCTTCACTGTCACACCGAAAGTGTGTAGTTATCTAAGCTTATCTCTTCGTCCAGTATGTTCGAATTACACCAGGATTCAGTGATGACAATTATAGGGGGTTTATATACTACTGTGAGTGCTCTGAGCATCGGTAGTTTATTTAGAACAGATCTAGCATTTATAGGGATCAGGTAAAGATGAGAATTGAAATGGCGTTTGAAGTATTTAAGTTCGTTAATCAGCCCCGAATATGGTTCAGCACCTAGTAGTACTGTGTGACATGACGACCCTATGTTAAGAGAAGTTTCAACATCATGCTCATCTATTTCTATCGAGTTGGTGTGTGCTGTTTTCAGTGAAGAATTAAGCGTTGGAGTACTGGATTTGCCATAGGCTAAGGCATTTTTACTTTTAGTTAAGCTAGAAACGTGGGTAGGGATCTTTATTTGACCTAAACTTGTGCATGTATCAAGTGTGCTTAATGGATGCGGGTGCACTAGACTGTTCCTGTATTCATGCAAAGGGGGAACCAGCACGAGCGGTTTAGGAGTGTTAACATCCCTACCAGCTGTTTTTTCAACGCTTACAAGAACGCAGAGGATAAAAATTGATTGGGACGTTGTGAAGACCATGGTTTATTATTCCACCTATTGTTTGGTATTGGTTGTGTCCTTGTATGGGTTTCGTGTGTACTGCTTTGTGGGTTAGTTCCCAGCAGACTTGTAACATATATCCGATCAAAATTCATTTGTGTGCCATACTGTGGATACCCTGAGTTGTTGGTGGTCGAGTTCTCACTACTGCCACTTGTACTATTGAGGGTGGCATTGTTGTGACGTTGGTTATCAGTGTGTGCCATGGTGCTATTTCGCACGTTGTGGGTGCTAATACTATTGACCGTGGGGAGTGTGGGCTTATTTATACTGCCATTGTTGTTGTTGGCATGATTTGGGGGCATATTTTCCTTTATTTTACCAATGAACTTATGGCTAGGAAAGGACAGTGTCGACTTTCGGGGGATTTTGACTTTTAGTGACATGTTTATATCTACGGTGATAGGTGGTATGGTTTTATTAGCTATTTGATTACAATTTAGTGGCCTTTCAGTTGGTGTCGCTCTCTGAGAGGATAATTCTGTGTGGTTTGAGAGGTGTGGTGTGGTGGATTCTACGGTATCTCTCAAAGGGTTGGGTATAATTGCTGCTTGCAATATCCTATTGTTTATTCCACAGTTAGACTCAATGAGATAATTGTATGCGCGCCTTTCTATGACTGTCTTGCCCACCACAACCTTTATTAGTTTGTAATTTCTGGCTTGCGATAGGGTGTGTTGGGAGTGGATGAATTTTCTGGCCTCTGCCGGTGTTTCGAACTGAAAAAGAATAGGACATTTTTCATGTTGACTCTTCTTCAGCCTGTAGCACTTAGTCTTGGAGTTGGGCATTTTCGCCTCACTAAGTAAGATGCGCTGTACCCTTTTCAGTGCCTCATTGTCCGGAACGTTTTAGACAATAGCATTTAGTTTAGCGTCGAGTCGTTTTGTTACTTCTGTAGTTAATGAGGATATCTACCTTAGTTACCGATTCTGTGTCAAGTTTGCTAAGGTTTACAGTTTTCATGAGGATAGTTAGAGGAGCCAAATCACAGACCTGCGATTTGATATCGCTGATCTGACCTGATAATTTGGATACTTTAGTATTGGTTTCGAAATTCCAGGATTTACTGACTTGTTTTTTATTTCCCTTAACTCGGCCTTAAGTTCTCCTATAGACAACTTTAGAAGTTCTATTTCTGAAGATAGTACTGAGACAGAGCTTGAAGGCTGGAGTTTTTCGATAAGCACATAAGGTGTAGGGAGGTTTCTGTACGAGCAGAGGGTACTTAATTTTTAGGAGTAGTGCTAATACTAGCTGCCAGTACAGTTTTATCCTCAGTTTCAGGTCGACGCTTACGACATACAAGTGAGTTATGTGGCTCACTATAACCGTTTGTAGGGAGTGTATTGCTTGATGTAGCAATCAAGGACGTAAAATTAGTCATCAGTTGTATAGGGGATTCAGTACGTTGCTTTTTACTTTGATTAACCATAACTATTTGATATAAGAGTTAATGGTCAAAGGTATAGAGGAAGTAGAGTACTTGTGCAAGGATTACAACAAGATAAATTTTATGTAAGGAATCACGCAAAAATGTAACGCAAACATTGAACGTACCACTTCGATTTGAAGAAAGGCATGTATTTAAAGAAGTTATACCTAGAAAGGACTATTATTTTCATTTTAGAGCCTTAAAGCTTTGTTATTTGCTATTTGTTTCAGATCTTGAGGCTGTAAATTGACCACAGGCAATGGTTTTTGTCATAGCAGTTATTCTATGAGAATCAGGCATTTGATAGAGAAATAGTCCACAGACATCTTGAGGATGTTATATATATATTGCCAAAGTTTATGGAATTACCTAAATCTCATAAGTATTGTAGACGCTGAGGCTGGTGCTTACATTAGAAGGTACTGGCTAAGAACACGGAAATATTGGGCCGCACACAGTTTGCCATGTGCACACGTCGTTGAGGCTTTCTTGAACTCATGTCTAAACTGTGGTATGTTCCACTTCCTTAAATATTACTCTTGGATATTCTGAGAAACAGTGATAGGTGGACACATCTATATAACACAACGGACAATATTCCGAGAGCCGTCCGCTTAGCACCGAAACTAAACAACGCGTTTCGAAATGCTCATGAACGTTTAAGATGTCGTCTCATCCGTCTGAACCAAAGAAATCCGGATGGTGCACTGCGGGAAATAGCAGAGTTCACCAGGTGGTTAGACAATTTGCTAGTAAATGAACCACAAACAACTTTAAGATTACGACGTGCCCCTGTTAATCGCCTACTTTTGTCAAAATGTTTGTATTGCCTTATTGTTTCCGTATGTATTCATAATATAAACATGTATTTCTAAACTGCTGTTACACTTCAGTTCCCTTTAAATGCCTAAGAGTGACAGTTTAAAGAATACTTTGTTTGATTGTCTCGTGATGAGAGCGCTTTGGAAGTCAGTTATAAATTACACCGATCTGTGCCTTATTTACTACGTTTTATCAGCCGAAGATTTGTAGTTCATAGCATATCCTGAGTAACGGTGACTAATACGATTTATCGCTTACACCAAACCTATTCTTCGATAATGCCTTTTTACGGTAAATGAAGATTTTATCCACCCAGTATCTTCTGAAATAACGTTGGTCGTGTTTAAAAAGACAGCCGGGTGCAAAATAAAGTCTTTTCGTTCTGAAGTAACGCTAGTCCGTGCTAATATGTCCTGTGAGGGCTGGAACAACGCTGATAAGCAAACCCAGCAGGTTCTAATCTACTCCTGAAAATGCATAGAAAAAGAACACGGTGCTGAATTAGTGCCAGTCATGCTGAAAACCGGCACTGAGTTCTAGTCTGTGCCATTAGAGAATCCATTTCAGAACAAATTCAGAATTTACTCACTACAGGATGTTAGAATTATCTCAGAATTAGTGAGATTTAATTCAGCATTATTATAAGCTTGGGACGCTTAGAAGACCAAATTTACAACAATTCTCAACAAAATCTAACCTATGCGTCAATGATATCATGCCCTTTTACGGTAAGTGAATATTTTATCTACTTGAAGTGAACCAAGTATGTACTGAAATAACCCTGGCACTTCTTAAAAAGGAGCACTGGATGCTGAACCTGGGCTAGAGGAGCTGCAATAAGGCTGGTAATCTACTTCTGGAAATGCGTGGAAGAAGAGCAAGGTGGTGAATTACAGCTGGTCATGCTGATAAACCATCGCACAGTTCCGGTTCACGGAAACAATCAAACAATGGGAGAACAGTTAGGGAGTTTACTTATTAAATAATGTTACTATATTAGCATGGTATACGTGAATTGGCTCAATGATTGCAGGTTTACCATAATCCTTAACTACCAAAATAATAACTGGGAACTTCAGGCTAAAAATAAGCTTAATAGTAGCAGTCAGTGACAGAAACTGACCTACACACTAAAAAATGAACAAAACATCCAAGAATACCTTTAAAATTCGATGGAAAACGAATTCACGAGAACATATAACCAGCAGACGCGGGAACTCATCATGACCTTGAAACTGACTATAGCATCTTTCATTGGATATTGCATCCCAGTTTAAGGCGCGCAGCTGGAATTTAATTATGACAGGGGATTCACGAGACTTCCTGAGATTGTACGCTGATACAGTAAATATGCAACTGTCTTTTGTAATTTTGCCTCAGATACATAACGCGCATGTTTTGGCTGGAGACTTGCACTTTCGTGACTTGCGGCGTGCATTCGACATGACATGCGATCTGCAACAACATGTTGTTGGTTTAATGTACGGACATCTTATAAATTTGGAAGCCGATATAAAAATGAAAAGTAAAGGTAATATGTTTATCGTTACTAATCAATGATTTATTTTCAGGCACAGTAAGTGTTAAGAATATGAACACAGATATGGATGCACAACCAAATCATGACGATCAAAATCAAAACAGTGAAGTTATAGGCAGTGGTATGTAAAACATTTTTGGGAGTAAACTTTACATTTGTATGAATGACCCTAAGACAGCAAGTCATTTGGAAAGCAAGTAGCACAGGGAGACTATTTATTATTTCATTAGAATCAAAAAACCAGTTAACTAGGTGTAATGCGTTTGAGTTACATTGACTTCCTCGTCCTCAAAGTATTTATCTGTTGACTGGGTGACTGCACATATTATATTATTTTGGTACTTCGTCAACTTGGGGGATTATATTACAATTAGAATAAGTCATGATCCTCAAGTCTTTTAGCTGCTGTCATGTGATTCTCTCGGCGGAAGTAAAGAAAAGACACTGAAGAATAAACGCAAGATTAGCCTTGGAAATCTCAGCCAGGGAGCGAAATCAGTTGAATAACAGTATACTCATAAGAGAAGTACTAAATCCAGTGAAAACAACTGATTTTGCTAGTTTAAAGTCAGACTAGGGTAAGGTTAAGGCTGCGGTAGAGGTAGGCGGGAGTATATTACGTAATGGCTGAGTTAAGGACCCGAATTAGCATTTTAGCAGAATTGACAGTCCCGAAGTCATTGATGCGTTCGTCCCCCTGACTGTATTCTTTAACTTCATTTTAGCATAAAAATGTTTTTTCAGCAGCATTTGTAGTGACCGATCGTCTAACCGTCATCGCCTTAAGGCTGGAGATCTTTACCGTTACATGTGCTGTATAAAGATTAGAATCAGTGAGACAAGTGAAATTACATTCTTAATCCAAAGTGCTGTCTGCTTTCGTGTCAACTTGATGTAGTGACGATTATTCAGGATTTCACTAAGGTATGACCACTGTGCAGTATGCAGTACATTGCTGGAAATATACTAATAATGCTGACCAAGGAGAAATATAGGAGTGATATCTTGGGAAAGGTTAGAAAAACGTTCACTTTACACAGCAATTAGTAAATACTCATTGATAATAAAATATCTGTGGGAAGGAGGAAATACGTAAACTAAGTGAACAAGATAATGAGAAGATAAAATTGATGAGAAAGGGGTACATTGTAAAACGATTTGACTGGTTTACAGCCACGCTAAATGTTATTACTACTAGTTTCACAATTCTTTTTATTTTTCTTTTGGCGTTTTTCAATCTTCCTAATGAATTTTAGAGGATAGTTATTTAAAACCAACGCCTCTTCTATCTGTTTTATTTCATCATTAAGGTCTTTTTTTGTGCTACTTAGGGCCATTGCTCGGTTTGTTAAACACTTAACTAAGCCTGCCTTAACAGTTAAAGGATGAGATGAATTAAAGTCTAAATATCTATTAGAATGCGTTGGTTTTCTATAAACACTAGTGTGTAGTTTGCCTTCTTCTATTCGTTTTATTTTACAATCTAACATAGCTAATTCTCCTTGCTCATTTTCGGTTTCAAATGTGAATTTTATTCCCTCCACTAGTGAGTTTATGTGTGTCAAGAAGCTAGAGATATGTTCTGTTTTTAACACTGTGAAAGTGTCATACACATATCTCCACCATATTTTTGGAGTAGGATTAAACGTATTAAGTACCATATTTTCCCAGCTATCCATAAATGTATCTGCTACGATAGGGGATATTGGTGATCCCATTGCTACGCCTTCAGTTTGTCTATATATTTTGCCTTGAAATTTAAATATAGTAGATGTGAGGCATAGCTGAATCCCTAAAATAATTTCTTCAATGGACAGCTTTGTCCTATGATTGAGTTCAGTATCCGCAGTTAGTTCTTTTTTAACTTCTTCTAAGGCCATATTGACTGGTATATTAGTGTAAAGACTAGTTATATCAAAACTAACCATTGTTTCATCATTATCTAGTTGTATGTCATTTAGTTTATTTTTCATCTCATATGAATTAGTTAGTCTAGAATTTGAACGATTTCTAATGGGACATAATATTAGAGCTAAATGTTTTGATAATTCATATGTAGGGGTATTCCTAAAATCTACTATTGGTCCTATGGGATAACCTGGCTAATGTATTTTAATACTACCATACATCCTACTAGCATTATTAGTTTTAGGCATTAAATTAAACCATTTTGACTCACCCAGTGATGGCTTCATTCTGCGTACTAATTCCGCTGTGGATTTTTTAACCTCATTCATTATTGTATCTACGGGCATCTTAATTTCCTCATATGGACCCATTTCAATATGTTCAGTGACTTTCTTGTTGTAGTCAGATTTATTCAAAACTACGGTGGCGTTTCCTTTGTCAGCTTTTGCGATGACAATATTTTTATCCTGTTTTAGATTAATTAAAGCTCTTAATACGTTTAATCCTACTCCAAAAATATGGTGGAGATATGTGTATGACACTTTCACAGTGTTAAAAACAGAACATATCTCTAGCTTCTTGACACACATAAACTCACTAGTGGAGGGAATAAAATTCACATTTGAAACCGAAAATGAGCAAGGAGAATTAGCTATGTTAGATTGTAAAATAAAACGAATAGAAGAAGGCAAACTACACACTAGTGTTTATAGAAAACCAACGCATTCTAATAGATATTTAGACTTTAATTCATCTCATCCTTTAACTGTTAAGGCAGGCTTAGTTAAGTGTTTAACAAACCGAGCAATGGCCCTAAGTAGCACAAAAAAAGACCTTAATGATGAAATAAAACAGATAGAAGAGGCGTTGGTTTTAAATAACTATCCTCTAAAATTCATTAGGAAGATTGAAAACCGCCAAAAGAAAAATAAAAAGAATTATGAAACTAGTAGTAATAACATAAATAAGAGAGAATATAAGTCATCTACAGTTATACCATATAAAGAGTGGACATCTGAGACCCTACGTAGGATTCTAAATAAAGCAGGAATTAGGGTGACATTTAAACCTACCAATTTTTGATTTAGCGCGACCACCAATCAATGTCATCGGCAGGAACTCCATCCTCACACTTGACTGGATGGACCTCACTGGTCACAACTTCTCACTGGAACTCCTCAAAACCCTGTCATGTAGTAAGTCACTAGCGATTAATTTTCAAGAGTTTGGTTTGAAAATTAATCTGATGCTCGCTAGCGGCTGAATGGTATACGGGCTTGCCTTGTAACCGGAAGGTCCTGGGTCGAACCCCAGTGGGTGCGTGCTGCCTATGATTCCTAAACTAGGATGAAACAGCTGTCCAGTACTCCCTGGTTTTCAATGGTTCTCTAACTGATATCAATCTGTTCTTTCTCTTCTCCCTACCTTTGTGTGCTGCATGGATTGTGGCGACTTGAACTGGTGCACTTCTGTACAAAGTTCTATGTTGAAACTCGGTTAGTTAGTCATTTCTGTTAGACTGGTGTAAATTCTTGATTATCCCAGAGACAATCAAGGTTGGAGGAGAGTGGTGGAAATTGGCTTGACTAACAATATCTAAAACTCTAGGTCCACAAATCTCGTGTAGATTGAGCGTTGTTCAGGAGAAACAAACTCGGAGGATGAAGCAGGCTTTAGTTTCGGACGATGATGTATTGGTCTTATCTTCAGCGTTCAATAAACATAGGCATACTTGCTGGTGTCCAACACTTTCCATTTCTTCACCTGAAGGCGAAATTCTATTCTGTTGACTGAAAGATGCCGTGGCAATGTCTGATGGTGAAAGAAGTGCCGAGAAGGAATGCTACACCAATGAAGGCATTCTACTAGAAATCACAGCCGTGCAAGAGCATACGGAAAGTTGCCATCTACTTACTTACTTTACTTCGGCTATCTCCTACGGGAGGATGAGCCGGCTTCATGAACATCTCGAATCATCGCTGCCCAGGCGCGGCGATCTGATGCAAGGTTTTGCGACAGGGTTATCCAATTCTTGTTCCACAGACGGAGTCCGTAGACGGTTTGTAGCCCCAGGCACTCCATATCAGCCTTAACTGTACCAAGCCATGTTTTCAGCTGTCCACCCCTGCGACATCGTTTGTAAGAGAGTTCATGGAGTTTCATGGGAATTTGGTACGAGTGATTTCCCCAGAATCGCTCGGCCTTTTGTTTGAGAGTGCAGCTCTAGCCTTTACACAACCAAGTGTGACCTACAAGGCAGTAGGAGTGGAGTAGGGAGTCCACTATCCATTGGCAGCCGGTGACCGGAGTTCGGTTCATACGCCTTTTTGAATGAGGCCAGACATCCAGGAAATCCAACAAGCCCTTTGTCCATACGTCTGCCGGTGAGCTCCAGTGAGCTTCATATGCCAGTCGTTGGAGGTTTGAAATCAGGGTTTAGCCATCTCCCCTAGACTGTTACCAAATGGACAGTCAACCCGGTGAAGAGCGCCGGGCATCCGCTTTCGCCCTCTCACTTTGGTGAAAAACACCTCCGCCACGTGAAGGCAGTGAGTAGGACTTCCTCAGGAGAGGCTATGTAAGACGCCCGGTCATATGGGAGCATTTCAAGAGGTGTGCGGAGGGGTGGCCAACCCGCAGCGCAAGGCACCCACCCCCGACCATCCTGAGGCTTTGTCATCTGAGGACCAGGGATGCCCAGTGTCTCCATTTTTGCTTAATTTCATCGTATATGTACTGACAAATGCAACTGTAATTGACTTTATCGACTTGTAGCAAGGAGCAGTCTCATGTCTACATAGTATGCAAATGATATTGTTCTTGTAGGTAAATCTGGTGACTATATTTGGAGTCTTCTGAACACGTTGAGCAAAACTCTCAGTATGTTTGACATGTGATTCGCTCCTGTGAAATGTAAGATAATTCTAGATGAGTGTTGTGCATCGATAGGAATTAAAGTGGTTGGGCATGTTGACCACTACATATATTTGAGAGGTTGCATCAGCATTAATGTAGTGATTGCTGACGAAATCTCAGCACAGATACGGAAGACTCGTGTACATTTGCTAGCTTAAGTTACCCTTGGTGTAGACGTGATGTTTGGCTATCGACAAAAAGTATGTACTGCTCAGCAGTTCGTTTTTCCTCTCTTTAAGACTGTGAGACAGGGCCGTTAAAGGAAGAGAATATGAAAAGATCAGCTGTGCATGACCATAATTGTTCCCGTTCTGTCTCCCGTGTTAAATGGCATAATATGGTGATTTATATTGAGGTTGGGTGTGAGAGAGGCAAGTCAAGTGCTAAAGTTGTGAAGCTGGATCGATTGAGATGACTAGGGCATGTGTTATGTATTTGAGGCCATCACCTTCCTTGTTGAGCAATGTTAACCGACCTAAGGTTAAGCTGGAAGAGAGTTAGTTGTGGTGCAGTCAAAACTCGACATCAATGCTTGGCGCCTATGACCGGTGGTTTGAGTCACGCAATGAGATGTAGACTGTCTGGCTGTATTTCTCGAGATGTAAAGAACCAATGGCTTAAGACTGTTGGTGATATGGTTGAGAGTCGTTGTTAATGTTTACAATGTCTCAGATCCACTAAGTCTTCGTTATTTCCGATATAATTATTCATTATTTTGTAAATTTCCTTTCTCTTTTCTAATTTTTGTGCCTCATGGAGCGTGGCAACTTGAACTGCCTCACTTTTGTCGTAAAGTTTCATATGGAAAACTCAAACAGTCAGTAAGTGGTGGTGTGCATTTATCGCTACAGGTGTTCCTATCCGATAAGCTGGCAAATTTATCAAATATCAGAATGAAGGGATCCAACCTGTAAAGAATCTAACTTCGTGTTATAGGCAGTTTTCCTTGGTGAATATGGCACATTCCCAACACAGAGTATCCTTGTACGTATATATTTATTTGTTTTTGATAACTGAGTTTGTGCAAATCAATGAGTGGTCTCCAACGAATAAAATGAGATTCCGTTCTATAAAAAAGGAACTTACTTCAGGTTGGAAGAATGGTGAAGACGTACTTATAGTTTTTCTGTCTAAGAAAGCAATAACTTAAATTGTGACTGAATTCCTGGGTAATGTTGACCTGTATCGCCAATAACTGGAACTTCTCTTATGCCTATGACTTATCCACTTTATTAAGCAAATGGATAGCTTCTGCTTCCACTCTCTGGAGTAACTCCATTCTGTTGCTTCTGTAAGATCAGTCCGTGTACTTTGGCTAGTATACGCCGCGCAGCTCACTAGCTACTTTGTACTTTTTAGAAGTTAAGCAAGTGAATAATTGGACTTTTGAAGGGCTTCTTCAAACGGTGATACATATGCAAAGTCAACTATGGCCTGTCAGAGGTAGTTTTCTGTGTTGAGCTTTAGTTAATGTACTGGCGTGTATCGACTAACAACTTGGAATTGGAGAACAACTTCATGCTTTCGCTACGACTATCTAATATCCTTGTGACGTTAGCAGTATTTAGATCTAAATAGCATATTGTCATAACTTATAATTTCTCACTAGTTAGTTTTTATAGATATTTATCATTTTTGCAGGACAACTTTCTTCTGCGATATCTCGTCACACAATAAACCTATGTACCTTATTTTCTGCTGCTGCTGGATTCAACATAGAACTTGGCACCGAAGTGCAGCAGTTCGAGTTGCCACGTTCCAAATAGCACACAAAGGTAGACAGGAAAATGAGAGAAGAGAATCAATAGAATTTAGATAAGTATAAGAGTGAAACAGAATAAGTAATGGTAGAAAGGAATATGATGGTCACACGAATGTCTTCATGTAGAGTAGTCACTAACTGGTTGGTGAAAACAAAGTCCAATGAATATTTACTTTTAGTTGCAGAAATACTTTGGCAGTGGGGGGTTATTAATTCCTGACAGGCAGAATTCACTATCAGGCTTCAGATGCATACAGTTGTTTTAGACCAGGTGACTTGCAATCAATAAGCGTGACAGTGTACAGTTAAAACTTAAAAGGTAAATTCACTGTGGACTTGTTGATGTTAAGAGATTCTAACTTAATTGAATTTCGTTTTATATTTATCACATTTTAGAAAATATTGAAAATGGAGAGGCAATAAATAACAACAATCATCATTTGTGTGAACCATCAAACCAGGTAGTCAATAATGCAGTACCTCCTAACAGTCAAATGAGTAGTACATGTGGTACTGTTACACCCAGTACTAGTACTTCTACACAAGAGGAAGCATGGAAACGAATAAGTAATAAACACAAGTTAATCTCTATAGACTTCCTTTTTCAATATATGCTTGAAACTGGTGTTACTACTACTACTACTGGTTTAGTCAGTGACACAACGGAGTGTATTGCATGTAAACTGAGAAAATGCGTGAATTATGAAACGGGAGTCACCATGGTTTGCGCAGCGTGCCCGCGATTCCCTCGTCTTTGTTCAGCACAATGTTTTCGATGGTGGCACAATGTTCATTTACCGGCATCCGGCAATAAACCAGGAGCAACAATCGAATCCAATCAAACCAATACAACAATAAGAAAATCAAATGACCAAGTTATGGTTTCAGAATCCCAGGTATCAAGTGAATTTAGAGCGCCTGAGGAATCAGTCCTCCAAACTTGTACAACACCCGTATGTCGGGTAGTCAGAAAGAGAAGACGACGAAAAGCAGCCCGATATGGTTATGGGAGAAGAAAAGTTTGGTCTAGAAGAAGTTAACCCGGTTGTTCATCGAAAACATACTAAGATAATTCTGATGGACGCTATTTTTGAATTTATTGAAAAAATGAATGTACATATTAATAATAATAATAATAATGTTTTTTTATAAAATATATAAGTGTGATTAAACCGAGCATATACACAATATTTTCGTATTTCTTCCCATTCAGATCAAGAATCCATATCGCAATTTCACGGGCTGATGGTTATTCTTGGAAAAAATTTTGGTTCACAATATACCGTAAGCACTACATAAGTTGATTACGTTCTTTGCGAATATCTTCAGCCAACAACTGAAATAATTTGCGACAGTATAGAAAGATAGACACAATCGAATCACACATTGATTTAATTACGAATTTAATTCTAAAAAGGTGAAGATAATACAGTATAACAGGCAGTTAGTAATCTTGAGTATTTCAGACAACATACAAGTTTACTTAATAAACCTTTAAAATCCACCTACTGAAGCCGGTGTTTTTGTTGAAGCTATCTATGAACGTCGTTATATCAGAAATAAATAAGTAGAACTTCCATGAAAGAAAACATTAAATTGTGATGAAGTTGAGAATAATTCAGGGTCAATCTTCGAGATGATTGGTTTTAATATGATGAGAAACTAATATTGTATTAGTTGTGCTCATAAGCAGTGGTGTAGCTGACTAGATTGTGCACCCGACTTTTATTCAGTCTGCCACGAATTTAAATTCATTGACCAGGATTTCAAAACTGCTCACTTATTTTATAGTCGTCTAGTATCTATCTACCTTTGAGGCATTTGTTTACACACACTACAAATGCTGCTGTCTCGAATTTATTGTAAGTTTCAACATTTCCAACGAAAGCGGCGCAGATGTTTACTATTAAAACAAAAAAGGCTTGAATTTAAGTTGGAGACAATGACCTTATGGTTACAAGGCGAGCTCGTACGCCATTAATCCACTTGGACCCGGTCCAATGGCCAACGCATGAATTCCAACTTTTGCGAATCCACGCACGAAATAGCGCGACTGGCACTAGTCAGTGTTATCGCTGACGATTGTTTGTCCTCATGTCCGACCTGCTGCATCCCACTGGTCACGAGTTCTCACTAGAAGTGATGAAGACTGCCGAACATGGACAGAATAGCTGTCCAGTACTCCCAGGTTTCCCGATGTCATCTCATGATGAGATTCTGAAACAAATATTATTCTATGATCAGACTTTACTAGGTCACAGGAAAGAGGCGGACAGTTGACTTGACTGACAACAAGTATTGGCAAACGTCTGTATGAAAGCGTTTCAAGAAGAATAGAGGGACGCGTTTAATGCCAGGTAGAAGTAGGACATTGAAGAGATTCAAAATAAGACATTTATATTTATAATATTTACAATATATCGTTATTACCAAAATCAAGTGGTTATTGTTGGATTTTCGGTTCTTGAAGATTATAGAAATCACATAAAATAAAAGACATGTACACTCACCATTTGTAGCAGTGTAGGTCGACCGTGTATTCTATGGATTGGACATGTGCCGCGAATGTCATCCCAGAGGCTTCGTACAGGTCTCTGTTCGCTAACCCTGGGACGGGATGGAAAAGGCGGAGGGGTGGTCAGTCCGTGACGTGGCGTCGTGGGATGAAGGATATTTGTGCTAGATTAGCATCGGTTGGTGCGTCACGACTCCCTGGTTGAGGTCCACGAGATAGCTCGAATCGATGGCTCGAAACGTTATCGGATATGGCCAAGAATCGTAATCAATGGCGAACGTGTTGCAATTCCCTTCTTTCTTCCCTTTCTGATGATAGTTAACGCATACTGTTTGAACTTGTTAAACATGACTGTTTTCCTTCCAGATGAAGTTCTTTATGCGTTTTCTACTTATATTTTTACTTTTAATCTATGTTGTTTTATTATTATTGTGTGGCGCATCTTTCTTGGTGCCAAATTGTACCAAGTTTCTCTGCGATTAGATAAATAATAATAATAAATTCTATGGATACTACTTAGGCATTGTCATCGTTTTGTTTGAATATTCACCAATGAATGTGATGCGAAAGGATCATTTTTAGAATCAGCATTCACTTCTCCTTTATTGCTTGTATGTGTTTCAACATCCATGGTGTTTTTATTTCTTTGTCGTCTTCCTCGCTTACGACGTCGGTTACCCAGCTTATCATTTGACTTGAACAAAATATAAGAGTAAGAAATTATTTTGAAAGTTAACGACATACGTAAAGAAGACTTAATTTGACTATTAAAAACTCCATATGATATAATTCGAGAAGTAGTGGTATATGAATATACTACTTATTTCCCTTATGACCGTTTGGTCATAGGGACATTCACCTTTCATAAACTAAACTGCTAAATATACTTTGGTGCAGAAAAGTAGCAGTTAGTAATCATACCCATTTCAGTATTTAGATAGTTAGCGTGACTTAGTTTGGAGATGAGACATTCAATTGTTGAGTGGTACTGTGAAGCATTCGGCTTTGTTGTAGTATATACATCTATAAGATCGAAGAGTGTGAAAGGTTTACATGTTTGGAAGTCTTTGTCTTCTTAGCATCGTTTCCGATGTGTGGTGGTACCAGGACCATAAAATATACGCAGCAGTTAGACATGAGGTTTTGGGTGTAAAAACTCAATCAAAATGGTAGACGACCATTTAGTATGATGATTGGGTAGTGTATCACAAATATCTGTATCCAGTTCATCAAATAAAAGCACTGTATCAGCTGAGGTACAATAAGGTTGAAAAAAGATAATAAGTAAAACGAATATTCAACTATGATAGTAATAACCCAACTATCCAAAAAAGAAACTGTGTGCAAACATTGTTTAAAAGAGTTCAAATTCACTGTAGCACTCTGGTGTTGAAGAGAATGGAAGAAAAATACCTGCTAGCCGCCTTCTAAAAGAATGGATATCCTCACGATTTCCTCAAAAAGTGTTTAAACTCGAGTGATAACACCAACAAGAATTTTATTTTTATTCCTTTACCTTTCCCAGTGGAACATAGGGCCTCAAGCTAGAGTCTTGGAATTTCGGTAACAATGGTGCTTATTTTTACGTAATGAGGTTGCTAGCCTGGTGCTCAACCTTCCGTCTTTACCAGTCTTATTACTGGCTTAGCGAGGTGAAGGAGTGCGTCGGCCGGGATCGAACCACCGACGTGGTTGGCGAGCATTCTACCGCTGTCACCGACGCCACCGAAAAGAAAACATCGACAAAAACCAAAAGAAAATTCATTCTACCATATATAAGAAATATCTCTGAAATAACGGCTACAATATTAACACCGTTTGAGATAGATATGGCGCACAAGCCAGCCAGGACAATCAATTCATTCAATATTGTGCAAACTAAAAGACCCAACAGGAAAACAAGATAAAATTGATACCATTTGCAAAATATATTGTATAAACTACAATAAACATTTCACTGGTCAAAGTGGGTGCACCCTACATGTCCTAATTCAAGAAGATAAATCGGCTGTGAAAAGGCACGATATTTACCGACACCAATGTGGTTGGGATAATGTAGAAATTTTAAATAGGGGAAACGCTAAAACTACTGCCAGGGGATTCCTAGGAGCCTGGTGATTAACAAACACATTACTATAGACAAAATGTACCAACTAATAAAGAATAAATCATATGACAGGAAATTTCGAATTCTGAGTCAATAAAAGTATGACCAATAGAGATGTAAATTAACAACCAGTCACGACAGTGGTTGTCAGGAGATACAATTATACCATCAATCGGCTTGCACTCTGCCGCTGTGCCACTGACACACGCCTATTATCTATGCATTGTTTAATGTAGTCAAAATAATCTAAGATGGAGATAGTGGGTCATTTGAGAGCATGCACTGAATGATTTGAGCTTTTACTATCTTTTCTATTGCACGTGAAACTACAGACGTGATGTTGATGGGGCGGTAGTTGTTGATATCAGCTATAGGCCCTTATTTATGGATAGGTACAATATAAGACTTCTTCCAGCTGGTAAGGTATGTCCCATCGCTTAGTAAAATTGAGTAAAATCATGTCATTACCACCGTTTTTCAGCAGAATGGAAGATATGCCGTCTGAACCAGGAGTGTTACTAAGCTTAAGATTTGCGACAGCTTTATCGATCTCGTGTGTGGTAAAAAGTATGTCACTTAGACATTCGCCTGTTTTACGTGTGAAATCCACGACCTTATCGTTCTACAAGGTGTATAGTCTGGCAAAGTGCTTGCTAAACAGTTCACATATCACCTTAGTATTTTCGTAAGCAATCCCGTCTAAGTATAATATTTTAGGATAAGCTGTTTTGGAGTTCGTCAACCTACTTTTGAAAAGTTTGGCTATTTCTCCTGAGTTATGCGGTGCCTTAATGGCTCGCATTTCTTTGTTTCTGAGGCCTATATTTCTCAACTCTTCAATTCTATTGAGAAGGGACTTAATAGCAATTAGTGATGACAAGTCATGATATCTGTAGTATTTTATTGAGTGCTTTCGTAGACTTCTCTTTATCGATGTCGGAATATAATCGCTTTGGAGGAATTTGAAGCTAACAATTTTCTCAGGTGCAATGACATCATGAATTGAGTTAATATTGTGATGAAAATTGTTAAGAATTGCCTCTAAGGTCTCGTTCAAAAAGTATGTATTAATATTTATAGTAAATTTTCTGAATGACAAAAGGAATATTTCCAAAGATGTGTCGTTAGAATTAAAAATATTTAGATAACAAATTACGTAGTGTGGGAAGCGCTAATCGAGTAGAAAGTAAAACGAAATTAGATAAGTAAGTTGAGTGACGCAATACAATTGATGGGGTTGAGTGGAACTTAACTAAGGTTGAATGAGAGTCAAGTTAACAACAATGGTAATAAGGGATAGAAATTTAATTGGGAGTGGGGTAAGAAAATAATACAATTAAGAAACAAACAACAAAAATTACGTATTTCATATAAACCATCCAACATTCAGAGGCTTCGATCCCCGGTTCAGTTTGAAAACCTCATAAATCAAACATATGATCTGGTACCAACATCTGAAGAGAATCCCCAACTATTCAAATCGTCGGTCCTTGGAGTCGTTCAAGTGATACAACTAGGTTTCTTTGATCCCCACTAGTAAGGTCTTTCTAATGGGTGCGATGGCAGTGAGTTGTCTACTGGTCGTCTGCCTGTGTTTATGTGGTATATGTACGTCGCCTTGTTGATGTTCGTCCGTTGGGTCTCGAAATTCGCTCGCTTCTTGTGCAGTGCACATCACGCCTGGAAAAGAAAAGAAAAATTCTGAGAAACATGTCGAAAAAAGTTTGCCAAAAGTTTTGTTTGTAACGGAAAATATAGCAGACATAT